GCAGGCTCCCTGCTGAGCAGAGATCCCGGTGCGGATCCGGGGCTCCATCCCAGGGCCCTGAGACCATGACCTGAGCCGAAGGCAGAGGCTTAACCCACTGAGCCACCCAGGCGCCCCCTTCCAAGTTTTTAAAGAAAATGATCGTACAGCTGCATAGCGAGTGCCTGTCGAAGTTGTATTTCTCTCATTCATTAGGAAACTATAGGATGACAGAGCTGGTTCAGGGGACCAGCTCCTGACAAAGTCAAGTGCTCTCAGGATGAGAAAGGGAAGGATTGGGCTTCCAAACTGTCAGAATCACTTCTCAATAAGAATTCCAGATCTTTTTGCTTGAAAACGCTAGTCCTGCTACTATATTAGGGTGATGGAGAGAAACTGAAGGTCCAGGAAAAGGATGTGACTTGTGCAAGGTCACACAGCTATACCTAGGGGAGTTGCAGAGGCCAGATCTGCATTCCCTGATTTCCATCCCCGGGCCCCCTGGGTGGCTTCCCTGGGTCTGCCCCAGGTCTGTGTTCCAGGAGCGAGTTCTCCGCTATGGCCAGGAATCGCTCTGCATTGGGGCAGGGGCGGGGCAGGCCTCAGGAGGAGACTCACTTTGGAGCTGGGTCGTTATCATACAGCCCTGTGGGGATGTCCCGCTGCTTGGGGGTCATCAGTGCTCAGGCAGGTGAGAGTTGAGACCCTGGAGACTTCCATGACCTCCAGCCCCCCTCCACGTGTGAATTCTGCAGTGAGACACCCAGAAAGCTCAGAGCTAGAGGAAAAAACAGCAGCAGATGAGAAGCAGCAAATGGTTGCCATGGTGATTACCTCCTGGAGCGCCAAGTGTCTTTCTTTCAGAACGGCAATGGAAGTGCAGCAGGAGGAAAATGGGCACTGGGGGGAAAGTCCAAGTCTGCGCCCTGATCTACCCCATATGGACAGCTTGGGGCAGGCCGGCTCACCTTCCCGGGGGTCCGAGGAGGACAGAGGATGCATTCGTCAGGTGCTGGCTTTGTGCCAGGCATGGGAGGTTGAAGGTTGTCCCTTCATGATCTCACTGAATCCTCTTCCTAGAAAGTGTTGCAGGAATGTGCTATACTCAGCATTTTGTAGAGGTGGAAACAGCAGCAGAGAGAGGTGAAGTAACTTGCACAGGAACACACAGCTTTAAGAGCACCTGAGTTAATGCTCCAGGTCCCTTTCTCTTGGAAGACTGGATACATTCCTTCTGGAAATTTCAGGCCCATTCCAGAGAAGGAAAGACAGGAGGGAGGCAGAACCAGGATGCAAAGAGGGAACACTCCAGATCAAACACAGTGGTGTTAGTCCCCATTTTCTGCCTGGGCACCTTGCCAACACGAGACCTGGCACCTCAGGCAGGGAGCACCCCCAGCCCAGGCAGCACCCCCCACCGGGCAGTGGGACACACCGTAGCCCCGAAGCAGACACTGCAGTGCTCCAGCTCCAGGGATGCCGTCCGGAGCACCTCCTGGTGTCCAATCCACCCATGGGCGGCTTCAACCCTGCCCTGCGGGAAACAAGAGGGCTGACTTCTCCCAGAAGCCTCCCTGCTGTGAACCAGAGCCCTGGCATTGGCCTTCTCCTCCTCCTCCCTCTCCCTGTGGTCCTTTTCTCCCTGCCCTATCTCAACCTCCTCTTTCCAGAGTGTGGGTTACTGGGCCGGCCATTGATCCCAGCCCAGGCGTAGCATAGGAGCTCGGGGAGGCTTTGATGAGCCCTGAAGAGCTCCACAATGGAGGCCCGGGAGCTTTTGGCAGAGCCTGGCGATGTATTTTTAGAATGAGCCCTGCTCAGTCCTGACTGCCAGGACGGCCTGCCTTCTCTTCCTCCATCCAAGCCACAGGACAACCCTGTGAATCACAGACCAGACAAACCCAGGGCCCAGGAGCCTCCCCAGGCAGGGCTTGTGTGTATGCAAGTGTGGACACGGGCAGGAGCCAGCCAGGGTGCCCAGGGCTGGGGAAGCAGGAGCAGGAGTCCCTTGCCAAGCCCCTCACCGGCTGGCCTTGGCCTCCTAGCCCTCCCAGCTTTGTCCACCAGTCGGCTCATTCAGTCATTCAACAAGTATTTGTTGGCCATTTATTACCCTAGTGCTGGGATGAGAAGGGTGAATGAGAAAAAATTCCTAGTCTCAGAACCGGACCCCTGACCTTCTCCCCCACCTCGGTTCCCCACCCCGGTTCCCCATCTCGATTGATGCAGTGTCCTGTGGCTCAGGCCGAACTTCTCATCCAGTCCAGCAGCAAATCTGTCCTTTTGCCCTAGCTTAGAACATACCCACAATCCAATGACTTCTCACCCCTTTCGCCCCTGCCACCCTGGTCCTAGTCACCATCAGGGCTCCCTGACATGGCTCCCCTGGGCCAACAGGGCTCCCCCCTTCTGTCTCTGCCCCTGCAGCAACTTCTTCCCTGGAATCCGAGCCGAGCCTCAAAAACAAGTCAGGTCCTGTCTCCCACGTTGTCACACATCCACAGCCCCCCAGAACCTGTGCCCTGGCTTCTCCCCACCATACTGAAGTGACCTGACCTTGCACACACACACACACACACACACACACTCCCTCACCTCCAATGTCAGCTTCTCTGTGCATCCCTCAGTGTGCCCTTCGTCCCTCCAGACTTGTCCCATCTAACACTGCAGCTCCTCCCCTTCTCCACAGCCTTTCTTGCCAAATAACACGAGATAATTTATTTACATTTTGCTCATTGTCGATCTCCCCGCCCGGGAATGTGAACTCCATGAGGGCAAGGTTTTGTCTGCTTTGCTTCCTTCCCTGAGAACCCACCTGGCCCACAGTACGGGCTCAGGAAGTAGAGTCGTGGAATGAGGGAATGAATGACTTGTGGGGGCGACAGTCATTAAAAAAAGGCAGTCCCTGCCTCCACTTCTGCCGTTTCCTGTCTCCTCCACATAGGTAGCCACAGTGGTTCTAAAAAACATACTGTGTCCTTCAAGTGTTAGGGCAGGTGTGACTACATGAGGCAGCCCCTTGGGGAACTCCCATCCTCCCCTCCCACCTTGTCCTGTAATTGCCTAGATCCTGGTGTTCCTCAGGGATGCTGCCTTCTGCAAGAATGAGGGTGTACCTAAATAAAATCTTTTTTTAAAAAATGGGGGTGCCTGGGTGGCTCAGTTGGTTAAGCGATTGCCTTCGGCTTAGGTCATGATCCTGGAGTCCCAGGATCAAGTCCCACATTGGGCTCCCAGATCAGCAAGGAGTCTGCTTCCCCCTCTGGTCCTCTCCCATCTCATGCTCTCTCTCATTCTCTCTCTCAAATAAATAAATAAAATCTTAAAAAAAAAAAAAAGAATGGGGTGTATCTGTCTCACTCAGGAGACAGGATGGTGCAATGGGTGACGGAATGGACTGCCCGGGTCCAAATCCTGGCTAACATTTGGGAATTTAGGCGACTTACCTAAATTGCCTGGACCTCTGTTTTCCCGTCTATAAGAAGGGGATAATAACAATACCTTCCTCAGAGTCACCCCAGGAGAGGACCCAATGAACTAATACACTTGCACTTGGGAGTTGTTTGTGGGACATAGTAAGTGTAAAAGGAAAGGTAGCTGTCATTGTTCTTCAGGGTCGTATCTCCAGGGCCTGGCACAAAACCCGGCCCACACTGAGTACTTAGTAAGTATTTGTTGGATGAATGAATGAATGAATGAATGAGGACAGGGATAGAAGGATGAAGAAGTGGCATGAGAACCTAGAGGAGGGCCCAGCCCCAGCCCGAGGAGAGTCAGGAAGGCTTCTTGTAGGAAGGGAGATGATTCCTGACCGATGGCGGGGCAGTGGGGGCGGGGGGGGTTTCGCTGAGGAAGGTGAATGTCGGGAACAGCAAACAGCAAGTGCAAAGGCCCCTCTCCCCTTGGGAAAGCCTGGTTCATGCAGGAAAAGTCAGCCCAGGACTCAGTGATGGACACTGTCGGCGAAGAGGCCAGGTTTCCCCTGTGCTGGCCATTTTGAGGACATTCTTGGGCAAATGAACTGTGCTTTTCCCTCAGACCTGCTGCCCATGGACGACAAAACATTCCCACGGAGGGCAAAACATTCTCCCTGGTCAGATCAGTGGCCCTCTGAGATCAGGGCAAGGCAAGCAAGGATAGGAGGTTGCTGCTTGTTGGGGGACCCCATGGGATAGGCCTGGATTTAACCTGACAACCCTCTCACAGTAAAGATCTTCACCTCCACGTAGAGATGAGGGGACAGAGGTCCCACTTCATCCAGCTGAGAGGAAGAGGCAGAGTTTGCTCTTGTCAGCCTGGTCCAGTGTGGCCTCCCTCATCAGACTGGCACTCCTGGTGGCCAGGGGTCCATGCCTCAGCGATACTTCAGTGGGTGACATCCCCCATTCCTAACCCCCCTTTCAGAGCACAGACCAAGGAACTAAGCAGGGGAAGCCCTCAACAGCCGTGGACTAATGTATAGCCAAGTTCATCGTCAGGCAGAACTCTCCATATGGACTGGAGGGTGAGCATCAAGACCTTCCCTCTACGGCTCCTGATGAGGGCAGACCTGGACACCTGACGGGCCGGTGACAGGAGTGGGCCTGAAAAGCCTGCAGCCAGATGACATTGGGGGGCGGTGCTGAAAGAGGAGGGGCTAATCCTGGGAATAAGTGGGAGCGTCTTACCCAATACTACCCACCCCATCCCGCTCCCACCTACCCCTCTCCCCATTCGACACTTCACTTTCCTCCTCTGTGGGCTTTCTCGTCCGCTGACTGATAGACTCCGCACACTCGCACCACCAGCTGCGGTGACCGGTGGGGACCTCTAAGAAGAAGGGCCTGGAGTTCAAGGTTCAAGTCCCCGCCCTGCCGCATCTTTGTCATCTTAGGAAGATACCACCCCTCTCCGAGCTTTGCTTCTCTCCTTGTGAAGCATGACACGCCTAAACCTCTGCCTTGGAGCCTTGACATGTGAATTCAAAGACGGGCTGGGATAGCTTGAGGCATCTGAGAGGTTTGGGTCCTGCCGGGGAGAATTACTGACATTGGAGGTTACTGGTTTGGAAAGGGTTAAGTGGAGACCCCGCCTCCCAGGCAGGAACGAATCAGGGCTGGCAGGGGAGGAGCCAGGCTGGAAAAGAGATCCAGTCCGGCCAGATGCTGCCCGGAGAGGGAACGGGAGAAGACGCCAGTTGGGCAGGCGGCTGCGGGACTGGGCGTGGGGCAGGGTCCTCGGTGTGTGCCCGGTGATAGCTCCAAGTCAGAGAGTGCAGGACCAGCTGCTAGGGGTGGGGGAGGAGGGGACCGAGCTGCCTGCGTAGGGGACAGCCGAGGAGTGGGAGAGGACTAGGACCCAGAGAACTCCCAGCCCCCCAGGCAGGGGGCACCGGCTGCACCCAGGCCTTGACCTCAGCCGACCCTGATAGCCCACATGGGGTGTGGGGTCTAATTTTAGCTCCAGCCGTAGGGCCCACAGCCCAGGAGTGCCAGCCAGTGGGCTACTCAGGAACCGCTCAGGCAAGGGGAGGATTGGGGAGGTCAGTCCCCCTTCTGTCCAGCCCTGCACCCTGGCCAAGCCACCTCCTGCGAGAGCCCTGACGGGTTCCCCATGGCCTGGCAGACTGCCCGCCTCTCTGCTGAGGCCAAGGTCAGGGGGTGCAGCCAGGAGGGCAGAAGGACGTGGCCTTGCAGTGTGGTCAGGGGATTGCATCAGCCTGAGCAGTGCCCAGGGGCAGGGGGCCCTGCTGCAGGGGCAAAGCCCAGCTTGGTTGTCCAAAGGCCAAGGAAGCAGATTCCTGACTGCAAGAAGACAAGGCCACAAAGTCGGGTCCTACCTGGCTTCCTGGCGCCTGGCTGGTGACTTGCGGTTTGACCTTACACAGGCCGCCGGTTCTCAATGGGCCTCAGTCTTCCCATCTGTGCAATGAAGGCGCTGAACTAGAAGGCAGAGCCCAGCTCCAGCGACTCACCCTCCAGCCCCTGCTCCTCCTGCTTCCCCCAGCCCTGGCCACAGGTGGCCACATGCAGTCGTGGAGAAGAAAGTCCCTCTGGCTGGCACTGTCGGCCTCTTGGCTCCTCGTCCTTCTGAGAGTCTTCCCCCTCCTCCGCCTGGCAGTGCCTGCCAGACCCCGGGCGGGTGCCCCCCAAGGCTGGCCCCGCTGGCTGGACTTAGAGCTCCTGCAGAGTTTCTCCCAGCCTGGGGAGCTCCCAGAAGATGACCCTCAACCTCCTCCAGCCCCCCGTGGTGGCAGCTGTGACTGGGGAGCTTGCTTTGATATCTCCAAGTGCAGGGGTGGTGGTCTCAAGGTGTTCGCGTACCCAGTGGCTGGACCGATCTCTGACACTCAGCGCGGGATCCTGGCTTCCATTGAGAGCTCCCGCTTTGGCTCCGTTAGCCCCGACGAGGCCTGCCTCCTCCTCCTCCTCAGCCTGGAAGCCCCAGCTGGGGAGTGCAGCCCCTTGCCCCAGCAGTGGAACAGTGGAAGGAACCATCTGGTCCTCGGTCTCCACCCAAACTTCTGCCCCCAGACCTTCCAACTGGGACAGGCGATGGTGGCCAAGGCCAGCCCCACAGTGGACACCTTCCGGCCTGGTTTTGACGTGGCCCTCCCGCTTCTCCCCGAAGCCCACCCATGGCGAGGTGGGGCCCCTGGCAAGCTGGGACAGCACAGCCCCCACCCTGGGGTGCCCCTGCTAGCCCTGGCAGAGGAGAGGGGCGGGTGGCGCACAGCAGGCACTGAGTCCTCTGCCTGCCCCCGGGATGGGCACTGTGAGCAGGACCACGGACCTGAGCAGTAAGTGGACCTTTACCTCTGCCACCCCGGGGTGGGGGGTGGGTGGAGAGGGTGCTGGGTGGGAGGGATCTGCAGTGGGAGTGAGCCCAGAGGCCAGGGTAGAGGGCGGGATGGAGATGGGACTGGAGAACCAGCTAGGCCTGACAAACTCTGGCCTCAGCTGTCCCAGGAGGGAGAATCAGGTTAGACCAAGAGAAACCCCACTCAGAAGGTCCTTTGTCACACGGGGTATCCAAAGTAGGTTTGGGGGTTCTCCCTTAGGGGTCTGTAAACACAAAAATATGACTCACTCCTGCTTACTCTTTTTCTCTTGTTCCAATTCCTCCTTCCCTAATATTTTAACATACATGTCTGTTGGGCTCGGTCTGTGCTAAAGTATAAATAATGGTTATAATAAAATAATACTAACTGCTTTCATTTGTTTGTGTACCAGACACTAAGCTCAGAGAGGTTAAGGAATTTGTCTGAGGCCACCCAGACAGACAGGGCACAGCCAGTGTTGAAATCCAGAGCTGCCCGTTTCCAAAGCCTTCAGCATTAGAATTCTGAGTTTTAACCAAGGGTGTATACGATCAACCCATCAAATGCCTCAGAGCCGTGGAGATTAAGGACTAGTCACAGATGGAAGCTGCTCCTGTGTCTAATTTGGGGAGTTAATCTCTTAAGGAAACAGCAAATATGAATGAGGTCAGACCAGCAGAAGAACTTCCCACCAGCACGACTGCCTGGAGACATGTAAGGGACATGGTGGCCTGTGGGACATGGAGAGTTGTTCAGAAACTCCTGTCCCTGGGCTAGTTGGAGTGACAGGCCTTAGGTGATAAAGCAGTTAACCCCTAAGTACCCAAACCCCTCTGTACCCCTGGAAGGCCAGCAGTGTCCGAAGAGTGGTTGTGCAGGATGTTATTCCAGTCCTTTTGAGGTTGTCCAGGCCCCCCTTCCTTCTCCATGCGTGGGGCAGACCTGAGTTGGAACCTGTCACTCTGGTGTCCTTCCCTTGCTCCCTCCCTCAGGTATCTCCCTGTTCTCTGCTAGAACAACATAGGCTGTTCTCAGCTCACCACTCCTGTCCCCCACAGGAATTCTTCACGTGGCCAAGCTCCCTTTTTGCCTCTGCCTCTCAGGGGCTTCTCTCAGCCAGAGGGCTCTCTTGGGAATGCAATTCCTCTACCTCCTCAAGGCACACGGCCTCCAGGGAGCCCCACAGCCAGAGGTAGGAATGCAATGGCCTCTTTAGCCCACAGGCCCTGCTGCCCGGACCCATCCCTAGCAGGCATCCTCCTCGGAGTGATCTGAAAGGTTGGGGATCACACCCCCACCCCCGCGCCAGGCCCCTGAAGCTCAGAGCTCAGACAGAGCTTACCTTCAGTGAACAAGTTTCTCTTGTTCACCATGGCCCCTCCTGACCTTCCTAATTAGACTTTTAGCTGTTCTTGCTTATAGAAGTTCTTTTTTTTTTTTTTAAGATTTTATTTATTTGTTTGACAGACAGAGATCACAAGTAGGCAGAGAGGCAGGTGGATAGAGAGGAGGAAGCAGGCTCCCTGCCTAGCAGAGAGCCCCATGTGGGACTCCATCCCAGGATCCTGGGACCATGGTCTGAGCCGAAGGCAGAGGCTTTAACCCACTGAGCCACCCAGGCGCGCCAGAAGTTCTTCTTTCGGCTGACTTTAATTACTGCACTGGTGAATCTGGAAGCTATTTCGGTCTGAACTTCTTTGAGAAACTGGAAATTAGGGAGCTTCACACAGGAGGCGAACTGTGGGCTCGCTGAATGTGTTCTGATGGAACCCAAATTGGCCAGAACTGGTCAAGGCTTTCTCATCCGTGGGGGCCGCCCTCTGAGTAGCATGGTGGGTGAGTTTATTTCCAAGGGGTGAAGCCTGGCAGCCTCTGACCGTCCTCTGCAATTTCCCAAGTTCTGTCTTTGACCTCAGCTCCCACCCCCACTCCCTGCAGGGAACAGGCCTTGTAATCTCTGGAGTAACGTTAAGCCTCAGTTTCCCTGAGGTGTCAGGCAGCTGCCTAAAGCAGCCAGACAGCATAGGGACAGAAGGAGAGAGGGAGGCCACCAGCCACAGGGCAGCCCCCGGAAGGTGGCCTGAATAAAAAAGCACTGGCCCGAGAAAGAGGCAATTCACAGTCCCTGCCACTGTCCCACAGCCACTGTCCCACATTCACTGGGCGGGCAGGGCGGCAGAGGGGGAGGGGAGGAAGCGAACACGTGGAGCCCGGTGCTGTGCCAGCCCCTTTGCACAAGTCACACACCCTCAAGTACCCTGCAAGGGAGGCATTTTCATTCCCATATCAGGGAACAGGAAACTGAGGTTCAAAGTGGTGGAGGGAGCCAGCCAAGACCCTTGGGTGATGAACTCCTTGACTCACCATGGCCTCCCTCGAGTTTGTGATGGAGTGGCTGCGGAGCTGGGCTTCAGCCCTGTACTTCTGGCCCCCAAACCCGTATTTTTCCACCTTCGGTGAACAGTCTCCTATTGCTTTGGAATAAGCCTCCACCCTTTTAAATTGTTATTTATTTATTTTTATGAATAGGGAATTCATTCACAGGGTACAAAATTCCAAAGGCACAAAAGGGTATACAGTAAATCTCCCTCTCACCCCTGTCTCTGGCCACCCAGTTTTCCTTCCTGGAGCCAAACACCATTTCTAGTTTCTCTCACGTCTTTTCTGAGGTACTCTGTGTGCACAAACAACGCATGTGTGTGCTTTCCCCCGCTTAGGGTTTTGTTTTGTTTTTTTAAACATAAATTCAATGCATGTTTTAAGGTCTCCTTTGGATCTAGGAGGCACAGTGCCTAAGTCCTGTGGTACTTTCAGGGACCCAGGAACATTTTTATTTTGATGAAATGATTTTCATTTCTTTGAAAATCAGAAGGAAAAAAACATACATTTAAGTGGAAGAAAATGTTTTGATATATATGTTTTTAAAGATTTTATTTGACAGTGAGAGAGAGTACTAGCCAGGGGTGGGGTGGGGCAGAGGGAGAAGAAAGAGACTCCCTGCTGAGCAGCCCCCCCCCCCCCCGGACTCAATCCCAGGACCCTGAGATCCTGACCTGAGCTGAAGGCAGATGCTTAACTGACTGAGCCACCCAGATGACCCTAATATATAATATTAATGCTTTCATTTATTTTTAAGTAATCTCGACCAAAAGTTGCACACTCCACCAACTGAGCCAGCCAGGCACCCCAGTGTTTTTGTTTTTATACCAATGAAATTATCAAATGTAATTTATACGTAATATCTATGGCAGAGAGACCCCAAAGGCCAAAGAGCCTAGGGCACACAGAAGTCACAGTGTAGCCTTGCCTATAGCTAGCCCGCGGAGGGCCCAAGGGAGCCACACTGACTCCATCCTTGGGCACTGAGGCCCTGAGTCTGTGGCAAACACCTTATAGGGTCACAGAACCCTAAGATCTCATTGGCAGTTCCCATGATGTCCCCTCCATAACATGCACACAGACACACCCACACAGTGACAGGTGCTCATCTAGCTCTGCTTACTTACCTCTACCAACAGGGATCTCACCATCTCCCACCATCTGGCTACTGTCAGCCAGATCCTTTACTAGAATTTGTGCAGAAACTGACATCTCGGACACCTGGCCCCCGGCTCCTGGGTCTGTCATTTATCACACACTGAGCATCTGTTCCCTGAGCAGCCATTACGTGCCCAGTCTCGGCCAGGTGCTCTGCCAGGCTGTGCAGACGTGGGCCCGGACCTCAGGCTGCTCCATCTTGTGGGAAAGGCAGACAAGTTCCCGGTTAGGACCCACATCATTAAGCAGAGGGACGCTGTACAAGCTGCCTTGCTCACTGGCTCCTTGACTTCTGAGCTGTGAAGCCGTTCCAGGCCCCCATTCACTCATCTATAAAGCAGGGGACTAGCAGCCTAGTCCTAGACCTAGACCTAGACCTCCCGTCTTTGAGGGAGTGTTGTGAGAATGAACTGAGTTACTGCCCCAAAGCATTTCGTACAGTGCTCAGTAAAGGTCGGCTGGCTCATTACTACTGTGGGCACACAGGCTGTGAGAGCAGAGAGGAGGGAGCCATCTTTGGAAAGATCAAGGAGGGCTTCCCAGAGAAGGTGAGGTTTGAGCTTGGACCTTTAGATCGAGTAGGAGGAGGGGCACCTGGGTAGCTCGGTCAGTTAAGTGTCTGCCTTCAGCTCAGGGCATGACCACAGGTCCCACATCGGGCTCCCTCCTCAGTGGGGAGCCTGCTTCTCCCTCTCCCTCTGCTGCTCCCCCTGCTTTTGCTCTCTCTCCTACTCTCTCTCTCAAATAAATAAATAAAATCTTAAAACAAACCAAAAAAATTATGAAAAAAAAGATCGAGTAGGAAGAATGCCTTGGGTTGTAAGGCAGAGAGGGGTGCTCGAGGCTGAGGGAGGACGTACGGAGACACAGAGGAGGCAACAACAGAGGTTAGTGAGGACTGAGGAGTACAGTTTATTCAGAAATCTCTTTGGAATCTCGGAAGCCTTGAACTTAGGGCTTCTCAGTCCTTTAGGGCTTTGTTGGAGAGGGGAGGAGGGCTGTAGCTGGCTGGTGCTATGGCAGCTTCTGTTAGAGTTAGAGAATGTTCTGTTGTTTAGCGTGTAAGTTCTTCCAGGAGAAGCCTGGTAGACACCTGAGCAGTAGAGACAGAAGGGGGGTAGGCAGAAATAACCCAGGGGCAGGAGTCAGCCTATTTGGTTCTACTTCCGGCCTTAACCCTGTCTGAGACCCTAAGCTAGTCCTTGGGTCTCTCTGAGACTCAGTCTCCCCATCTGTTCAATGGTTCAGACTCAGACCAGACAGGATGTAGCTGAGGAAGGTCCTGGGACCTCTGGGCCCTATTCGTCAGTCCCACTCTGAGCAGACCTGTGACTCAGAGGTCCTGCCCCCTCCATGCCCTCCTCATGCCTCCCAGTAGCTAGGTCATGGGCAGGGCTTCCCTGGGTGGGCAGTCTCAGGGAGGTGGCTTTGGGGAGGCTGTAAATCAAGCCCCCCCTCCCAAACACACACAGCCTGAGTGTGGCCCTGGGCTTGGGGGGAGAAGATGGGAGGAACAGAGGAGGCCTGTCCTCTGGGTGAGGGGGCCTCTGGGCAGCAGCTTCCTGTGCGGTTCCAGGCTGGGGGCCCAGCCCACCTCCTGACAGAGGAGCTTTTCATGGGCCTGGGCTCTCTGGATGGGGCAAAGGCAGGGCATGGAGGCCACGCAGGTGAGGGCTGCCTCAGAATCTGCGTGTGGCAGAGCAGTGGGGGGCGGGGGGGCGAGCCTGTGTCTCTCGCAGTCAGATTAGGCCTTGGAAACAGCTGGTCCCGCCCCTCCCATTTTGCAAATGAGGAAACTGAGGTCCAGAGAAGAGAAGGGGGAGATGCCTGAGCCCCCCAAGGGCAGAGGCAGAACTAGAACCCAGGGCTCCTCTGCCTCCCAGCCCACCGTGGGTGAGGGGCAGGTGTGAAGCTTGTGTTCATGTCAGTGTTCGTGAGTGTTTAACATGTGAAGCACAGATGGTGGGTTTGCACACTGAGAACTGGGGAGTGTTGGGGGGGTTTGGGGAGCATTGAGGGAACCAGGTTTTGAGGGGCGGGTGTCTCAGGCCTCACCTGTACGGTACCCCTCCTGTATCTCCTTAGGACCCACCCTGGGGCAACGCTCCCCAATGCTACCTTCTGCCTCATCCCTGCCCGCCATCCTGATGCCTTGCACTTCCTTCAAGCCCTGCAGGTACAACCCCAACCTGGGTGTCACCTGGCCCTGTCCCCCCACACTCGTGAGCTGGCAGGCTCTCTCTGCCAGGCCCAGGGGAAGGGACCGTGAGCTGCCCGCACCCACACTCACCACACCCTGTGTAGAACAACCCGCTGCCCAAAAAACCACCTTTCTCTCCTCTGGGCCCCTTGCCCCCAATGGAAGCAGCAGCTAATTTGGAACTGGGGGAGGGGGAGTGTGTGTAGGATGTGACTGGGCTCCCCAGTGCCTCCCTTTCCCACAGGCTGGCTGTATCCCTGTGCTTCTCAGCCCTCGGTGGGAGTTGCCCTTCTCCGAAGTCATCGATTGGACCAAGGCGGCCATCGTGGCTGATGAGAGGCTCCCATTTCAGGTAGCTCAGGGCCCTGCCCACAGGTTGGGGACTGGACCTAGGACGTGGGAGAAGCCTTCGATCTCAGCCTCCAGGCTGATCTCAGTCCTCATTCCTATCTCCCCATATGTGTATATTCATGATTTTGCTCCAAGCCCCAAGCTTCTGGGGCTCCCACAGGATCAGAGAGAGGCAGAGACTCCTGACGGCTTGAGAGCAAGTCCTGAGCCTTTTCCAGCCTCAGTTTCCCCAATCTGTACAATAGGATAAGTTAGACCAGATGATCTCCACGGGCCCAGCTGATGACTCGACCAGTTTAAGGGAAAGCCATAAAAATCCAAAATCTGAGCGCCTCCAGGGAGGCTGGGGTGGGAAAGCAAAATGCACGGTGACTTTTCCAGCTGATGAAACTACTTTCGCCTGACGATGAGAAAACTGCGTATGCCTTGAATCCCCTGAGAAGCGAGAACAGTATGGTAGTTACTAATAGCAGCCGCCTGCACTGAGCTGCTACCATATGCCGAGCACTTAACGCATATTGTCTTATTTATTTATTTATTTTTAAGACGTTAAAAAAAAATTTATTTGAGAATGAGAGAGCACACAAGCAGGGGGAGGGGAAGAGGGAAAGGGAAAGGGAGAGGAAGAAGCAGACTCCTCGATGAGCAGAGAGCCTGAGGCAGGGCTCGATCCCAGGATCCCAGGATCATGACCTGCGCCAAAGGCAGACGTTTGCTTAACCAACTGAGCTACCCAGGAGCCCCTGTATAATCTAGCTTAATCCCCACAGCCGCCCTATGAGGCAGGTACTGTTATTATCCCCACTTTACAGATGAGGACACAGACTCAGAGAGGTTGAGTAGTTTGTCCACAGTCACACAGTTATTAAGTGGCATTTAGGCTCAACTCTGTGTGACCTTGATTATTACCTGGGACTTGGCCAAAGGTGGCTGCTTGGAAAACTGTGGGGAGAAGGCTTCTGGTTCCCAGACCTCCAACCTGGGTGGTCCCATCTCAGAGTCAGTCAGAGCCTGACAAGGCCCCATGCCTTCTCCTTTCCTCCCTCTGTACCTCAGGTCCTCGCTGCCCTCCGGGAGATGCCCACCACCCGGGTCCTTGCCCTGCGTCAGCAGACCCAGTTTCTGTGGGATGCCTACTTCTCCTCAGTGGAGAAGGTCATCCATACCACTCTGGAGGTGAGGGGGACTTCCATGATGGGAGCCATGGTGCTTGGCTCCTGCCTCATCCCCGTTCCCGCTCCACACCCCTCTCTCCGGACACATCTTCTACCCTGCTGTTTGGACTTCTCCCCTGAAGGGGCTTATGGGATGAATCTGAGGCTTGACTCTGAGCTCTTGGACAAGTTCCTTCTCCAGTCTTGGCCTCAGTTTACCCCCATCTGTAGAGGGATAGCTCTGGCCAATAGATTTCGAAGCCTGTGCCAAGGTGCCAGCCCGGGTGATGGTCTGTGGCTGCCTTCAGTGCTGTGTTAAAGGGGAGTCTGGGTCCGGAAAGAATGTCGCAACTCGTTAGCCGCCTCGTCCATGAGTGAGGAAGGAAAAGGAGGCAGCAAGTTCACCATCACTGGCCACTTCTGGACACCATCACTGAGTGCCCCCTACTCTGGACTTCGGCACCTGAACCCTTTGGACAGTGATGCAGCTGTTGCCCTCCCAGGAGCCTGAAGGGGGGCGTGGGGGGGGCGGGAGGGGTGTGGCTACGCCAGGTCTGAACTTCCCCAGACCCTGCTCACGACCACACCCGCACAGCCCTCTCTCATTTCACAGATTATTCAGGACCGGATCTTTGGAGCACCTGCTCACTCCTCGCTCGTGTGGAACAGCCCTCCAGGCGCCCTCCTGGCCCTGCCCACTTTTTCTACAAGCCCCTCGGACTTCCCCTTCTACCACCTACAGCGGGGTATGCCTGGGGATGGGACAACTTGAAGTCCCCTCACCAACTCTTCCCAAGTCTGTCCCAGCCTCAACCATAGGGCCCTGCCATGCCCTTCCCTGATTCACCCACATCTCTCCTGGCTCCTGGAGTCCCCAGCTCAGGCCACTCTTTAGGGGGTCCTGTCCCCTCCCACCCTAACAGCCTGTGTCTCATTTCCCTAGGCTCTCGGCCTGCCGGCAGGTTCAGTGCTCTGATTTGGGTGGGGGCCCCAGGTCAGCCCCCACTGAAGCTCATTCAGGCGGTGGCAGGTTCCCAGCATTGTGCCCAGGTCTGTCCCCTTTGCCAGGGGGGGTCCTGGGATCCAGGGCGGGGGCGAGGGAAGGGGCAGGGCCCTTGAAGACATCTAGACCCCAAGCGTAACCACATGTTTTGGGGGGAGGCACAGGAGGGGTTTTCAAGGGGTTTTCACTGCCCTCTTTTTTAAGTCCCAACATTCTTGTTCCTTTCCTCCTCCCCCTCACCCCCCGCAAAGGAAACTGATGAAATCATGTAAAAAGCAGGTACCCCTTGGGGCCACTGGAGAGGTAAACAGGTGATCACGCATGTACTCACCCATCAGTCATTTTCTCAGGTGATGGTGATGCTGAGGGGTGCTCAGGGGTGATGCTGAGGACTTAGAGAAAAAGCAGGAAAGGATTCTGCCCCGGATTCAGATTCAGTTAGCACTTTCCGGCACATGCTGTCAGGTGTCACTTCCAGAGAAGCCACATAGCCTCCTGAGGGGACTTACAGGGGAAGCAAGCCCTTAGCTCGGCCAGGGACAGACAGAGCAGCTCCACAGAGGGGACATTTGAGCTGGGCAGCGAATGATAAAGGACCAGAAGCGATCAAAAGCCTTTGAGAGAAGATGGGGATGGGACGAGGGGCCAGGACCCAGGCTAGGGGCTACCACAACTGACTGTCCCCAGTTCCGATGCTGTAGGTAGCTACCTTCAGGTCACACCAGAATTCCTGCCTTCCTGATGCCCAGAGGTAAAAACAGGGCAGCAAAGAAAGGACTTGGCTCCAAGTAAACTCTCCCAAACTCAGAAATACAGCTGTTCTCCCAGCCTTCAGGAACACCCCCTTTTCCTCTAGATCCTGGTTCTCTGGAGCAGTGAGAAGCCACCCCCTTCCAGATGGCCCAAGACAGCAGTGCCCTTGACAGTGCTGGCCGGGCAGAGGAAGGTGAGGAGTTGGGGGGTGGGGTGGGAGGGAGGGCTCCAGCCCCCGCATGCTGGGAACCGGGGAGGGCACACATGGGTGCTTTGCTTGAGCCCAAGCCAGATCTGGACTTCTAGTCGGGTCCGAACCTGGTCAGGAAGTCGCGCCTCACTTGTCCCTTATGGATCTCCCCAGGCGGACTGCTTGTGCCGTGTGGGTGCAGCAGAATTCTGTGGAGTGGAGAGTGGGCTGTCTGATGTGGGTCTCAGCTGAGGGCCCAATAGAGATGATCCTCTCCCACGCCTGGCCCTTGTGGGTTGTGCCTCCAGAGAGCTGGGGTTTTATGTGATGAGGGAAGGCAGAGGGAATATGTTGGCTGCCATGGATGAGCCAGAGGAGAAACGTGGGGTCTTGAGGAAATGAGGACAGATGGCAGCAAACGGAGCCAGAGGAGGGTGGCTTCTGAGAACCCGGGATGCTGGGAGACCCTGTGTGCTGTGTGGCTCTGGGCAAGTCCCTTCATCTCTCTGGACTTGTTTCTTTCAAAGGGAGGATGTCTGACAGCCCCTCCCAGGGTTGAGGCAAGCATGTGATGTGACAAGAGGAATTCCGAGGGGTCGAAACTGGAGGGGCCCCTGGGTACCTTCTGCCCCACGTGCTCCGCGTCCCAGGTCCGGGCGGCCTGGCTGTTATCGCATTCTGCCTTCTACATCGGCGCGCCCAGGCTCCCGCTTCGTGGCTGCGTAGACAGTCACGGTGGGAGCCCGGGGAGGGTTGCCACAGCTGAGTCGGCCTCACCTCCCTCCCACTACAGGCCAGTGACCGCTTCTTCCCGCACCGAGCCCTCAGCACGGATGCCATCCTCAGCCTCGATGCACAGAGCAGTCTTACCACAAGCGAGGTCAGGACACGGCCCGAGAGGACCCCAGGGTGGAGGGGGGACAGAGACACCTCAGATTCTCAGAGCAGGGAGGAGCCGAGGACCAGCGCCCGGGTGCAGCCTCCTGCTTTTGAAACCACCCCCAAGAGCCTGTCGCCCTCTTCCTTAGTCCTCTAGCAGAAGCTTTCAGCAAACTTTTAAAAAACAGTTTTCAGCTCCCAGGGGTAAAAGTACTGTTTCCAGCTCCCTGTTGGGAAACCCCACCCCACCCCACCCCAGCCCAGCAGTCCTGGAAACTTTCATGGATGCACGTCCTCTCCCAAGTCCCCCAGGTGGGGCTGGCCTGGCCTCCATGTCTCTTGATGTTCCCAGATGGTTGGGAAGTCCCTCCTCATACCTCACTTCAGTATCTCCCCAGGTGGACTTCGCTTTTGTGGTGTGGCAGAGCTTCCCGGAGCGGATGGTGGGCTTCCTGACATGGAGCCACTTCTGGGATGAGGCCCGGGGTGACTGGGGCCACACTGCCGAGAAGGCCAACGAATTCTCCATGGTTCTCACATCAGCTGCCTTCTACCACAGGTACGGATGGCCGGCCTGGCACTGGGAGCCAAGGGCCAGAGCACCCCACCCCCACCCCGCCTTGATCCTGGGCAGGGCGGTGTGGGAGTGAGCACATCAAGCTAGGGCCTAGAGACCCAGGTTCTGGGCTCAGATCTGCCACATCCGAGTCGTATGATGGGCAAATCTCCTCAGCTCTTGTGAGGCCTCAACTTTCCTTGTCACCTCGAAGGGCTGATGTGATAATCTGATGAGAAAACCATATGAAGGCCTTGGCACACAGGTGGCCAACAAATGGTAGCTAGTGTCATTTTAAACAGAGCTAGGCAGGGGTAGGGATTTGAATTTGGTGATGGGGATGGTGATGGCACGGGAATGGCCCGGAAGACATTTTTTTTTTTTTTAAGATTTTATTTGACAGACAGAGATCTCAAGTAGGCAGAGAGGCAGGCAGAGAGAGAGGAAGGGAAGCAGGCTCCCTGCTGAGCAGAGATCCCAATACAGGACTCGATCCCAGGACCATGGGATCATGACCTGAGCCCAAGGCAGAGCCACTGAGCCACTCAGGCTCCCTACCCTGAAGCTTTATAAGTGTGTGTGTGGTGGGCTGGGGACTGCCCCAGGCCTTCCAAAAGTTAACTAAAGCACCCATCTTAGGGGTAGGGACTGAATTCTGGAAGGCCCCTTTAGAAGGGTTCCTTAGATGTGTTTAAACCAAATATGTGTGACCTGGAACCTCTAGTAGGTTTACCCAGGAGCTCTGCAAGGAGTCGCAGCAGAGTGAAGACTACCCCTAAGGTCTGCAGGGTGGGCCTAGGTTGTTCTAGAAGGCGGTTGAGTGGAGCAAGGCTCACCCTGAGCAGCATCGGTCTGGTTAACCCACAGCCTTCCTGAAGCTGGTCTTTGGGGCTGCCATTTTTTATGGCCTTGGAACCAGCTGACACCCCGCCACCAATTCTGGCTGAATTCAGACCTCAGAGGCCCGGTTGGTGGCCCTATGGAACTATAACAGAGGGGGCAGGGAGGACACCAGGCGCTGCAGACAAACCCCCAGAGTGCAGGACAGCAGAGAAAGATGTGTATTTCTGGTGTGGGCTCTCTGAGGCAGTCAGGGCTGGGTGGGGGTGGGGAGTGGGGACGAGCGGGATTTTCTAAGGAGGCATGGGGATTGAAGTCAAAGGAGAGTGAGGTCAGGAGAATGGGGCCTGGCAGGGAGTAGTAGTGGGTAAATTTGACTGCAGCCCCTCCCTCTCCCCTTGCCCAGATACTACCACACCCTCTTCACCCACTACCTGCCCAAGGCTCTGAGAACCCTGGCAGATGAAGCACCCAGCTGTGTGGACGTCCTGATGAACTCCCTGGTAGCAGCAGTCACCAAGCTGCCCCCTATCAAGGTGCCCTATGGAAAGCAGCGTCTGGAGGCCAGCCCTCCCCTGGTGAGGATCCAGGGGGACAGGTCGGCACTGGGAGGGCCCTGGCGGTGGAAGGGATTCCCTCTCACTAACCCCAATCTTTCTTTGCTGAAGGTTTCAGGGGCATGGGGGGTGGGTGGGTTTAGAGGACAGAGAAGACCTCCAAAGCGTTTTTCCTCCCCCTTAGGCACCTGGGGGCCCAGACCCGCAGCCGCCGGCCCAGGACTGCATCAATCAGATGGCGGCCGAGTTTGGCTACATGCCTCTGGTCTCCTCTCACCTCCGTCTGGACCCAGTACTGTTCAAGGACCCGGTCTCCGTGCTGCGCAAGAAGTACCGCAGCCTGGAGAAGCCCTAGCTTGGACCAGCAGAGCCCCCAGTCCTGCTCCTGGGGGGCGCTGCTCCTGCAGAGGGGTTGGGAGGGGCTCAGCCCCCTCCCTTCGGACATCTGGAGAGCCAATCAAGGCTGCCAGTTAGCCAACACGTCAGGTCCCTATTAGCCAATCATCCCAATGCCCGGAGCTGTGGGGCATCGCCCCACCCTCCAGTCCCGCCGCTCGTGGCAGGTCACGGGTGCAGGGCCCTTGCTCTGGGACTGTGCCCTCAGCCGTTGTGACCTTATGCCTGGAATGCCTTTCCCAGCTTCTCTGCGGGAGCTGACTTCCACTTGTCTTTCAGATCTCCGCCTCCTCCACCGACTTGCCTGACCCCCATCCCCGACCCAGATCCTCTGCTCTTTTACAGCCGAGTGTTCCCCACTGTTCATGCTGCTTTGCAAAGTACACAGTCAGGCCCCAGGACCAGCCTGGAAGCCCCGGGAGGGCAGGGCCATGTCCTCTTCTCTCTGGCCTGGCAAGTGTTTCACAAGTATTTGACGAACAGATAAAAAACCTCAACTGTGTGCCTGGCCCTGTGCCGTAGTCGAGAGTGCGGATAGTGTGCCAAGTGAGACAAAACTCCGTCCTCCCCCACCTTCGGGGTTCTCAGTCCGGCAGTAAGGCAGCCACCCGCAGATGCCTGGGTTGCCAGGCGCGATGTTCGCACAAAGAGGCGCCGAGAAGCCAGTTTCCGGGCTTCCTTCCCGAATCTGGCAGAGCAGGGGCCGGAGGGGAAGAAAGATGGGAACGCCAGGGGTCCTGCCAGCCCAGCCCAGGGCTCTGCATTACCGAACATGACCACTAGAGGTCAGCGCCGCCCCGCGCTCTCTCTTCCGGGAATGGCAATGGAGTTTTTAGCGCCCCTCGGGTCAAGGGGTGACCTGGCAAGGGGCTGTGGAGTGTTGATGGGGTGCAGCCCGAGGTCCGAAAACTGGGGGAAGAAATTCGAAAGAACAGTCCCACTCCTTTGGCCCACATACTCTGGACTAAAAAGCCATTTCTAGGTAGGCTGGATGGGAGATGGGTGGTCTAGAGCACCCTGGGGGGGGGGGTGGACTGTGGAGTGGGGTAAGGGCTGCTGGGTTCTCCAGGGTTCATCCACCTGGAACTGGAATTATCACTTCCGAAATAAAGCGCATGTCCTTGCCCCCTCGTGCTATAAATAACCCCTATGTGTCGGGGAGGGGGAACTCAGGGCTCACAGGAGTGGGGTGACCCTAGAGAGGTGGGGGGTGCTGGGTCCAGCCCAGGTCCAGAGTGTCAGGTGTTTTCCTGCTTTGACGGCCTCACCGCTTTGGAAACTCTCCTGACTAGCTCACCCTGGCCAGCCAGAACATGCCGTCCCCCAGGGCTTCTCCAAGGCCTCCCACCCCCATCCTCCACTTTACCTCTGGCCCCTGGATGACTTGGGTCCTCCCTGCAACCAGTCACAGCTGGGGTGCAGAGAGGACTCTCCCTTGGAAAGCATGGGGTTGCTAGATTATTGAGGTGGATGGGGGCCTGGGAGTTAAAGAGGAAGGAAGGCATTCTGGCCCAGGGTCAAGAGCAGTTGAAGGTGGGTGAGGAAGCACACAGCTGTGGCCCAGGCAGCCTTCCCAGGGCGGGGAGGGCTCTGAGTGCCAGGCCCAGCAAAGAGAAAGGCACGCTTCCCCTTCCCACTCACAGCTTCGGCACCCAGACCGAACTGCCTGGGCATGGCCTTACCCATGGAGGGCACTGCCAGGCCCAAGGGCTCACACTGTACCAACATGCAGCCCAGAAGGTTTTCAGCTCCTGCTGTAGAGGGAGGCCCGGTGACTGAGGCAGAAACCCCAGACCTGCTTCACAGTGGCTATGTGACTTCAGAGACTCAACCCCTCTGAGCTTTGGTCTTCTCATCTGGAAAAGTAGACCCTCTTGAGAGGTACACAGCCTCTCAGGATCCAGGTTCCTGGGGCCTGGAGGGGAGAAGGGGTTTGATACCCCAGAGAATGGAGCAGAGCAGAACACAGCCATCAGCAACCCCCTGCCTCACACTTCCAGGCCCGATGACTTCCCACAGATTTTGAGGGGCTGAAGAAGCCACTGACCTTTATCACAGGTAAGCCTGGAAGACAATGCCTGAAAGACATCAAGAGGTTATTTCGTAGATGGGAAAAGAGAAGCACAGAGGAAGGCCAAGTGACCAAGCCTTCCACATCCTGCCACGAATCAGGGCAGAGGAAAGACAAAGTCAGTGCGGCCCCTGGGGAGGCTAGAAGCCCACCTGGCTCTTTGGCAAGGTGGCCTCAGGCTGCTACCTTTCCAGCATGATGGTCAAAGTACGCACTCTTCAGGCAACACCAGGTGCTTAACAGACTTTGGTTCCAGTCCTCACAACAACCCTGTGAGGTAGGTTCACTCTTAGTCTCTCATTCTCTGAGACCTAAGAGCCACTAATGAGTCGGGCAGCTGCTTTCTCTGTGAGACTAGGGACAAGTCTCCCCTCTGCATCTTGTCAACACAAGCGGCCCCTAATTCAGGAATCTACATACGCCTCAGGAAGCCAATGCCTCCCACCCTCTTGTACCACCAACCCCTCTGTCTTCCATCCTCAAATTCTGAGCAGGTCAGGCTACACCAGCCACAGCGCTGGCCCACGGAAGTCAGGCTCTGAGATCCCTGAGATCTCTGAGATCCCCAGGGACTGTGGGGCTGCCACCCACCCCCCAACCAACCGGGGCAAGGGTTCCTGGGCTGGGGGAATAAGGAAAGAAGAAACCGGCCAGGTCCTGACATGGTCAGAAGCCTCCTCCCTCCAGGAAAGGGAAATGTGGCTCAGAGCTGAAATGACTAAGGCACAGGCAGGCCTCAGGTGCCCGCTGGTTTCCCATCTCAGGGGGACAGGTCGGAGAGTGCAGGGTCTTCACAACTCCCAACCCCCAAGGCCTAATCACACCACAGTGTTAGAGGCAGAGGGAGAAGGGCTTCTTCACAGATTCATAAGGCAAAGGCCAGACTGACATGAGGAATAAGGCAGGCAGGCAAGGGTACGTTGGAGCCAGTCTCCCCTCGGTCCCCCCTCACTGTGCTTCCCTGCCTTTCCAGGAGCTGGTGTAAGAAGGCATTAGGTGAGGATGGGGCCCAAACCCAGCCCTGCCAGGCACTAACCCAGAAACTGGAGGAGGGGGGTCATACTCGCTTTACACTTGCCACATCTCCATCCTTAAACTGGCTATCTAGTCAGATGGGGGAGGCAGGGGATAGTTCCTTCACACACAACACAGAGCAGAGGTCAGGAGAGGGACCCGCTTTATAACACAGCCAGGGGAGCCCAAGTCCCAGCTGGGCCTGGGGAACACTCAGCCCCACCGGCTGCAAGTCCTGTCCATGCCTCCGCTGGCACCTGGCCAGGCAGTCAGTCCGAAGGGCCTTGGCACGCCTGACAGTCCTTCATGTCCTCCGAGTAGTCTTCGATCTGGATGGTCACGGTGTGGAAGTGGAACTTGCCCTGCAAGCGGGTGCTGGCTGCCTTCAGCACAGCCTGGCCATCTGCATTCTGAGCTAGGGGCAGAGAGGACACACCAGGGGAGGCACTGGACAACAATTTACTCACTGGGGCCCTGAGAAACGATCAGGAGCCTAGCTCATTCCCTACCCGCAGCAGGACATGGTACAGACATCAGGGAGCACCCCCCGCCCAGTCCCATTCCTGCACTGGGCCACCCTCCAGTTCCCACACCTGGCACAATCCCTCCAGAGCAGGGGCCACCCTGGCTTTAAGGCTGGGAATCTTGGCCCTGCCACCTAGGCACTGTCAGAGCCTGGGCAAGTGACCTGACCACCCCACCCAAGCCTCAGTCTCAGTTTCTTCATCTATAAGCGGGATTGTGATGACCAAATGAACAAGGTCTATAAAGTACTCTGCGTGGGGCCAAGTTCAAAACCAGCCTCACTGCTGCAGACTTGTGAGGCCCTCGGGCGCTTCGGGGATGGCCCCAAGCCTCCGGCAGCCTCTGTCCCTCACCCCGCCCTGAGGATCCTGGCCACTCACCGATGGCGATGTGGACAGACAGCACAGGCTGGGCCACGGTCAGGGCCCAAATGTGCAGGCTGTGTAAGGCTTCCACCCCTTCCACTGACAGCAGCAGGTCCCGGACAGCCGTGAAGTCCACACCCTTGGGGGTCCCTGAGTGGGGCGGGGATAGGGGCTGAAGGAGCCTGCTCCCTCCTGCCCCTTCTGGTTTCTGCTGTTCAAATGTCGTCTCCTCAGAGAAGAGCACCCTGGCCAGCAGATCTGATGTTGCCCCCACACCCCAGATGATCTCCATCATACTACCCTTCTGTATTTTCCTTCTCATGCCTGACACTGTCTGAAATGACCTTGTCAGTCCCTTCCCCGTGTCCCCCTCTAAAACGGAAACTCCATGAGCACCGGATAGTCTGCTTTGTTTACTGCTGTATCCTCAGTGCCTAGAACAGTACCTGGCCCAGAGCAAGTGCCCAATGACTGTTTTCCAGAACAGAAAGGAGAAGGAAAGACGGGAATCGGGGGACCCCCGTGCCCACACAGGCCATCAGCAGCAGCATCACTTTTATCTAGGGCTGTCACACCCTGGGGGAAAATGCTCTGAATCTCAGCCAGACACTCCGGCTGACTCCACATCAGCACCCAACTTCGGACTGGACCCTGGCCACACAAAACCCCTGGGGCACAAGAAAGCCGGTGACTGTGGCGACTCAGGGTGGACCATTTGCTAGTGCAGAAGAAGCCCCCCCCCGCCCCCAGCCAAGCCATGGGCTCCTGAGCAGAGGCCTCAGAAAGGAAAGCAACGAGCTAGAGGGGATTGGGGAGTCTTGTCCAACACCCACCATCCTTTTTTTCTGAGCCTCAGTCTGCCACCTGTGCAACGGGAGGCAGAATCCTCGTCCCTCTCTGCCCAAGGGGAGGCAGCTAGAGACTGCGGAGGTATATGGGGGAGGGGCGGAGCAGCTGTTGGTATAGACACCACCTAGAAGTTAACCTGACTAGGCAGGGAGGACACACCCCAGCAGGGAGGGGACACCTTGGGGCTAGAGGGGAAGGAAAGGTTCTGTCCGGGTCATATTTCCAGGAACAGTCACACCTGAGGGCTCCAGCTGATGCCAAGACTGGCCTGGGGCCCCAGGAGGTTTTCCAGCCTGTGCCAGGCTCCAGACCGTGGCTCCCTGCCAATGTGCTACGACTCCCCTGCTCCCCGCAAAACTTGTTAGTGCTGGAGAGCCCAGAGCAAAAGGAGAGCCCCAAGCCCAGGTTACCTTCCATCAGCACCAGGATCACATCTCTCAGAATGGTCAAGGTTGTCCCCAAGACCAGGATGGAGAAGAGGAAGGTGCAGATGGGATCTACGTACTTGTACTCTGGCTATAAAAAAAGGGGAAGGCAGAGCAGCGGCTCACCACCCAACACCCTCAGACTCTCTCTCCCTTCCCACCCAGTGCTGCGGCGGGGAGAGGAACTCTCTGCGGGGTGGGTACAGGCCTCACCCTGGCTCTGCCTCCCAGTTCTCTGCCTTTTATCCTGTGCCCACAAGAACAGGCAGGAGAGATCACAGCTCAGGATAAGACAGTCCCTTCCCACCCCTCCTTGCCCAAGGGACTGAAGTGTAAACAAAACTAAAAGGAATCCTAGATACCAATGGTCCACGATCTCATTTTATAGATGGAGAAACAGGATCAGTGAGTGCGAGGGACTATCCATCACATGGCTCACAGGGGCTGGAGCCAGGCTTCAACCCCAACGCCTGGCTCTTTCCACTACACCACTCTGCCTCTGCGCGGTGGGCAATGCGTCGGCAGCCCGCAGGCCTGGGGGTTTGAATCTGACTCCACAATTTCCCAGCTGTGTGACACCATCCAAGTCACTGAACCTTTCTGAGCTGCAGAAACACCACCAGCCGCTCTTTAGGATTACTGTGAAGATCAGAGGTGCTGACACTTGGTAGGTACTGGGTAAAAATGTTCCTTCCTCTCCCCATACAGCGGGGAGGGAGCTAGAACCTGGGAAGGGACATGTGTAGAGAGGAGCCCCCACTTGATCTATACTCTTCTGCCCACTCCCACCCCCCCAGCCTACCTCCCTCTGTTCCCAGCTCTGACCTTGAAGTATAAAATATAGGCTGCCACCAAGATGCCTATGCTCTGCAGAAAGTCTCCAATCACGTGGATAAAGGCAGCTCGGACACTGGGGTTCTCCTGCTGCTGGCTGGGGTCGTGGCTGTGCCAGTGGCCAGACGGGTGAAGAGTCAACCCCATTCTGCAGAAGCAGAGACAAAGCCAAGGGTTCACTGACGTAGCAGGGAGAGGCCCCCCAGTAGGGCTGGCCTGCCTACGGGACAAAAATCCTAATCTTCAAACTGCCTGTTCCCTGTGCCTGGTGAGGATCCCAACCCCCATGGCCTTCGTTCAGAGCACCATGGGAGAATGGGCTTAGTTCCAATGCCAGGCTAAATATGGGCACACAGACGCCAACTCTCAGGACAGGAGGGCACCATGGAGGTCATCTTGTTCTCCCCAATCCTTTCACAGAAGGGGAAACGGAGGCCTAGAGAGGGAAGTAACTTGCCCAAGACCACTGAGCCAGGAGAGGAAGCCCAAACAAGACACCCAAGTTCCACATACTCTTCCTCTCACTGACACCACTTTTAGGCCCATCGGCTTGAAAAAGAACTTGAATCCTGCCCTTACAGACATCTGCTCCTGTAAGAGCTAGACCCCTTTCCATTTGAGGTATGAAGGCTCCTTGTTTATTCCCGCACACATATGGTGGGGAGGTGGCCGAGCTGATGCCACCCCAGACTCCCAGCTCCCAACGGCTCCAGCCTAGGCCTAAGGCAGAACTGAGGTATTCCAGGAACTAGAGCTCAGACCACTAGGGAAATTCTCATCCTGTGGCCTGTGCATGGCCTCCTTCTACTGAGAGCAGGCATGCAGACGTGCATGTGAAAAGTGGGAAGGAGGACTCACAGGGAACAGAAGCGACACTCACATGATATTCACTGCCACAGCGCAGCCCGACGTGATCAGCATGGTCCCCCCTTTGATCTCATAGTCCCCAGAGATTAGCCTCTCCACTGCCAGGAACACCAGCACTCCAGTCACGACCCAGATGGACAGTACAGAGAGCAGGGCTCCCAGGATCTCTGAGGAAGAACCCAACACCCATCTTAGCATGCGGTCCTAAGACTGAGGAGGCCTCCCCAGCCCTCCACGATCCTCCCGCCCCATCCCTGCAAAGTCAGGGTCTGGAGCCACCTGGGCTCTGCCGAAGCTATGGCTGGCATGTGTCACACCTTACTTCACCACTCATCCGTCAGAGGACGTCAGAGCTAGAAGGAACTTAAGTCACCTGGGTCAACCCTTTTTGTTTTACATGTAAAGAAACTGACTTACTAAAATATATACCTGTTGCTCAGCTGACAAACAGAGGCTTCTGAGGAGAGACTGGGGCATCTCCCACCAAGAAGAAAATGATAGTGCGGCCCAGAGATGAACTAAAGGGGACTTAAAGCCTTTATCTTCCAGTAGGCTTTGCTGACCTTTCCCTGCCCGGGAAATTATTCCACATGGAATTATGTGCAGAGTTAATGCCATAGTCATTTGTTCTTGAAGTCTGGCCATTTCATTTCTTAGAAAGGTGACCTCTCCTTCCCTGCAGACTGGAGGTTCCCAGAGGACAGGGGACCAGGGGTCCCCCATCAGACTGGGAGCTACCAAACGACAGAAGCTAAAACTGACATTCTCTTCCCCACGCCAAGTCACCCTCCTGGCCTCACTCAGGGATCTACCTCTTGTAGCCACGAAAGAACCCACCATCTTGACCTGCCCCCTCTTCCAACCCCATTCCCACCCCAACCAGGGTCCTCACCAGCTCGCTGCCAGCCGAAGTTCATCGTCTTGGTGGCTGGTCGGGAGGACATCCAGAGAGAAAAGAGGCTGACCAGCATGCTGGCAAAGTCAGTGAGCAGGTGGGCTGCATCGGTCATGACCGCCAAGCTGTGAGCTAGGTACCCACCTGCAGGGGCAGGACCCGAGATGGAGGGGCCTTATCAGCAACCCATGGAGCCAACTTCTCAGACTGTGTGTGCAGCAGGCAAACCATGGGGTCTGGAGAAAAACCATGGATTTGGGACCTCTCCACCCATTAGCTGTGTAACCATGCATAAGTCACTAACTTCCTGTGAGCCTCAACTTCTATCTGTGAAATGGGACTGACACGATCTACTAAGAGGGGAATTGTGAAAATCAAGTGAAAATAGGGCCTGTAAAACATAGGAGGCACTCAGTAAATGCTCTTTCCTTCTAGGCATCCAGGCCATCCCTTACACACTGGTTGTGCATAATCTTGGGCAGATTACTTAATCCTAACGTGCCTCCATTTCATCATCTATAAAATAAGAACAACACCCATGACAGTATGAGCGTGTCATGAGAACTGGACGAGATAACCTGTATGTAAAAGACTCAGCATAGTGAATGTTCAATAAATGGGGCTATTAGTAGGTTCTTTTTAATTAAGTAGGCCCCACACCCAATGTGGGGCTTGAACTCACGACCCTGAGATCAAGCCATGCATGCTCTGGGCTGAGCCAGACAGATGCCCCAAGGCTATTAGTTAATTAATATTACTGGGAACATCCTGAAGAAAAAGCTTTTAGATCATGAGACTATCCATGCACCCAATTTCGTTTAATTAGCACAAAAGTTCTTACCAATGACTTCCCCAATCATGAACACCAAGCAGATGGCAGAGGCCACATAAAGCTGTCGCCGGGCCCGCTCCTTCTTGGGGTCGAAGTGATTACCAGGACCCTTCTGGGCATGACAGTAATGATTCCTCTCAGTGACTAGCTCAATGGCCTGCAAGTCCAGGCCAGATGGGGGCAGAGGGATCCAGCCAGTCCCCTCCTGCCATAGAGATCCCGTGTAAGACCTGGCCAGAAAGGATGGGAGAGGGCGGACTCAGCTCTGAGTTGGGGGCAAGGAGGCCGGACTCCAGTCCCATCTCTCTATGGAGTCTTGGCAAACGTTCCCATGTGTCCAATTCAAAGAATAGCTAAGGGCACTCCAAGCTGAGGAGTGACCAAAAACTTGTGTTTGGAGTGGGGTACTGGGGAAAAGACCAGTCCAGGAATCTTGAGGTCTTGGCCCAGGGTGTTCCTTCCTCCCCCACCCCACCCGGGTCAAAGACGGAGAAGGAAAAGACCTTGGGACGCGGCCAAGGGGCAGGGCCAGTGCAGCCAAGCACGGAGAAGGAACAGAGCTCAGGCTCAAGGAGAGCAGACGCCCCTCTTGAGCACTGGGGGACAGAGGCCCTCCCAGGGCGGAGCTGCCCCGGGGGCAAAGTGTCGGGCCAAGGGCGGGGCTCCAAGCATGCGACTGCCCACTAGTGGGCAGGGGTCAGGATCTGCGCTAAGCCGCGGGGGGGCGGGGGAAGGGGGGTGGTCCCCCCGTCCAGGTTCGATTCCCTCTTTTCCCTCTCCTTCCCCGTCCCAGTTCAAGCCTCCGGCAAAACCGTCCACTGTAAACGGCAAACCAGGAGATGCGTCCGGAGCCGCTGAAATCCCCGCCGCTCCGCAGACTCTCGCCTTACCGGGCTCCCGGCCTGGCGTCCACCAGATGCTGCTTCTCCGTGGGCTCCATGGGACCCCGCACGCCCCGCGCTGGGTCCGTGCCCAGTGCGCCCTGGAAGTTGCGCGCGGGACGCTGCGCAGCGCGCGCCCACCTGCCCGGAGGGCCCCGCGCGCCGCTCCCCGCGCCCCTGCGCCCGCGCCTCCCGCCTGCCTGCTGCTCCGCGCGGCAACTCCCGCCCGGGCCGCGCTGGGGTCCGTCCGGCTGCCGCTCCGTCCGCTCCGTCCGCTCCGTCCGCTCCGGCCGTTCCAGCACGTCCGCGCCCGCAGCTGAGCCCCGCGCCCGCCCGCTTTATCCGGCCCTGGCCACCCCGTGTGAAGCCGCTCGCTGCGCGTCGTGTGCAAAAGCCCGCCGGGAAGGGGGAGGGGAGGCCGGCTGCACAAGGTTTCCCGGCGCTGTCCCCGAGCACCCCGTTTCTAGCGCCCCTGGGGCCCGAGGAACCCACCCCGCGTGATTTAGGACTAGGCGACGGCTGCGCGCACTGTCCCCTGCGCCCGACTGTCCGCAGCCCGCCAGGCGCTCGCGGATCTCGGTTTGTGGAAATACGCTTTGGGTCCCCTGAGAGCAGGAATGTGGCTCCTGAGGTTAGGTGTGTTGTCCCCTCAGGCTGAAGGCTCCCGGGGTTGGCTGCGTCCTTCCGCTCAGACTAGGACGGAGGTGAGGGGGTTCTCCTGGGGGCGGGGTATGCGTACCCTCGGGCTGGGGCAGGAGCCCTCTTTAGGACTGGCTGTGACCCACGGGCCCATCCCAGCCACTGCAGCTGCGCCTCTTCCTCCCCTCCCGCGCACTCGCGCTCGGATTACTATCTGGAGTAGCTTTATCTCCACCCCTACGTAGAGCAGTGTGGCCTTCAGCAGCAGTCCCCATCTGCAGAGAACCGACACCACCCTCCCTCCCTTCCCCGCCCTGCAGCCGCTCACAGAAGCCGCTGGAAGGTGCTGTACGTGGTGTTCCACCGGAGACTCTGGCCCGACTGGGTTGGCTTGGTGCCCTACCCACTTTAAGCTTTGTCTTCTCGCTGGGGCTCGGCGCTTGTGTGGGGACCTTATGGCCTAGCCTTATGGATGGAGTCTGATAGGGACCTATTATATAGAAAACTCTTTGGACTGCTGACCTCTCAGCCCAGTCACTTCATCATCCCCAGTACGCTTGGTCTAGGGGACCATGGCTCGGCTACGTCCCTTCACGTAGACAAGTGTCTAAGTTGCAAGCTACTTGCCCACACCATTGGGGATAAAGAGGTTCCTTCAGTCTTTCCTGGACAAGAGTCACTTTATTTGGAGACCAGGTGCACGGAGTGAGGGTGGCAGCACCATGCCTACCCAGACTGGGTACCCATTGAGTGCCTTTCCACCTTCCGTGGTCAATGAGTGTGAGAAAGGTCTACCTTAAGCTTTGCGGTTTTCCTGGTATAGTCTAAGAACCAGGAGATCCAACATTACCTGGAAAAGGTGTTAAAATGCAGGTTCCCAAAAGGCTGCATCAAACCAACTCAATCAGAATCTTGCAACTTGGGGCACTTGGGTGGCTCAGTGGGTAAAGTGTCTGCCTTCGGCTGGGGTCATGATCCCAGGGTCCTGGGATCCAGCCTCAGAATGAGCCAGGAATCACATGGGGCTCCTGCTCAGTGGGTGGGGGGTGGGGGGTGGAATCTGTTTGTCCCTCTTCCTCTGCTGCTTCCCCCCACTTATCCACTCTCTCTCTCAAATGAATACATGAAATCTTAAAAAAAAAAAAAAGAATCTTATAACTTATTTGATGGCAAATGTTTACGGTTTAAAAAGCATATTTTTGGGGCACCTGGGTGGCTCAATGGGTTAGAACCTCTGCCTTTGGCTCAGGTCATGCTCCCAGGGTCCTGGGATCAAGCCCCACATCGGGCTCTCTGCTCAGCGGGGAGCCTGCTTTCCCCTCTCTCTCTCTGCCTGCCTCTCTGCCTACTTGCCATCTCTCTGTCAAATAAATAAATACAATCTTTTTTTAAAAAAGCATAATTTTGTGTCCCTCGTTCCCTTCAATTCAGAGCACATTGTAAGTCTTAATAGATGCAGATTTATAAGTTGGATTCAGATGTATATATTCATTTTATAAAAACCTTTTATGTCAATTTTCCTTTAAATTAATACTTTCCAAGATGTACTTTAATTGATTTGCAAGAGTCAGACCAGTCAAGACTTTGATACAGTGAAAAAGTGCTAGGTCCCCTTATTTTATGCCAGGAGTCCCAAGGGAATGACCTAGCAATTCCAAACCTCAACCTAAGGAATTTTATTTTAAAAATAGAGATTGCAGGGGCACCTGGGTGGCTCAGTCTACTAAGTGTCTGACTTTTGATTTTTGGCTGGGGTCATGATTTTAAGCTTGTGGGTTTGGGCCCTGTGCTAGGCTCCACACTCAGCAAGTCTGCTTGAGATTCTCTCTCCCAGTCTCCCTCTGCCCATCCCCCACTCCAGCACCTGTTCTTGCTCTCTCCCCTCTGTCTCTCTCAAATAAATAAATCTTTAATAAAAAAAAAGTACCTTTACCTAAAGTATTGAAAGATAAAATGATTTGATATCTGGGATTTGCACCCCAATAATCCCAGTGCTGGGAATGGGTAATGATAGAGAAGAAACAAATGTGTCAAATACTGTTGAAACTGACTGATGGGTACATTATACTATTCCCTCTACCTTTCCATATGCTCGAAATTTTCCCAAATTAAAGGTTTAGGGAAAAATAAACTTTTTCTGGGGCACCTGGGTGGGTCAGTGGGTTAAGCCTCTGCCTTCAGCTCAGGTCATGATCTCAGTCAGGGTCCTGGGATCCAGCCCCGCATTGGGCTCTCTGCTCAGCTGGGAACTTGCTTCCCCATCTCTCTCTGCTTGCCTCTCTGCCTACTTGGGATCTCTCTCTCTCTCAAGTACATAAATAAAATCTTTAAAAAAATAAAAGATAAAGATTAAAAAAAATTAACTTTTTCTGGTGATTCGAATGCAGCAGTCTATGGAACCATATTGAAGATTCACTGGCATAACCCCTTTGAAGCTTTCCTTTCTTACAGCAATGATCTTAAAGGAAGTTTTTTTTTTTTTTTAAGATCTTGTTAATTTATTTGACAGAGAGATCACAAGTAGGCAGAGAGGCAGGCGGGAGGTGGGGGGGTGGGGGGGTGGGAAGCAGGCTCCCGTTGAGCAGAAAGCCTGATGTAGGACTATCCCAGGACCTTGGGATCGTGACCTGAGCAGAAGGCAGAGGCTTTAACCCACTGAGCCACCCAGGGGCCCCTTAAAGGAAGTTTTTGACCAAGAGCCTTCTATACTACCCTTAAGTGTTCTGGTTTTCGAGAATAAGCAGAGCCCTTTGGCCAAGTAGAGACCTTCCCATTTGCAATCAAGAGATACCTCCCTGGAATTAAAACTTTGTCTACTAGCTTTGACTGCATTCCCTGTTCTTTCCGATAAGAGATCAGTCCAGAAGATAGTGGACTGATACGCCTTTTCTCACGTTATCGGCAACCTGGAGGCAGAAGGTGGACACGTTGTAATACTGATTCTTGTGATTTCAAAATGATGGAGACCTCTCTCTTTCTGTCCGGAAATTCCATCGGTCATGGCCTGTCGAAGATACCTCAGGACTATAAAGAAAAGCAAGTGTGTGATTACCAAAAAAAGGCACAACAGTGGCTACCTCCAAGGAGGGGGTCCTCTGGGGCTTCCAGGGGCTGGCAGTGTTCTCTTCCTTGCCTTGCACGGTCCCAACACAGAATTGCATTATGCAGCAGTTTCTTAAATCTATAGCCTATTTTGTTTATTTGTGTGTAATATATAACACAATTTGTGTAGGGGCCGCTTTTAGGCAAACAGGGACCCCCCCTCAAAATATCCATAGGCTCGAAGTAACCAATGGGCCACTTATAACACGGCACAAGTACCAAAAAGGGGGAAGTTTCCATACCTCACCACACTGCCTCACCTTCCTCCTTTATAAACAGCGGCCACCCCTGCCTCCTTGCAGACAGCCTGACCTCTGCTGTCTTGCCCTCTGCTCCCTTCCAGGTATATTCAGTAAACTTCTATCTCCTTTATTCTGCCTCAGGTGATTTTTTCTTTTTTTTAAAGTAGGCTCCATGCCCAGTGTGGGGCTTGAACTCATGACCCTGAGATCAAGAGTCACATGCTCAGGGTGCCTGTGTGATTTATCAGGTTAAGAGTCTGCCTTCAGCTCAGGTCATGACCTTGTGGTTCTGGGATGGAACCGATGTCGGGCTCCCTGCTCAGCAGGGAGTCTGCTTCTCCCTCTCCCTCTGCGACTCACCCCTGCCTGTGCTCGCTCTCTCTCTCTCTCAAATAAATACATAAAATCTGAAGAAGAAGAAAAAGAAGAAAAAGAAGAAGAGGAGGAGGAAGAGTCACATGCTCTATCAGCTGAACCAGCCAGATGTCCTGCCTCAGGTGAATTCTTGTCACGACCCGCACCACTGACTTCCACACATTGTCACCCCACATGTGGGGGCCCTCATCCTCTCAGGAGATACATCCCACTTAGACACCATAATTGGTTTAAAAAAATAGTAAATTGAGAAAGGATTAGAAATGAGAGAAAATTTTAAAAATTCAAAGTTAGGGACTGAGTTAGTCTTGGTCCCAGAATAAAAATGGACAAAGGTGTGATGGGTTTAAAGCACTTTTGTAAAGTGAGCTCCACAGGACACTAGTTCTGGATGACATCACGTGAATGAATAAGCTGGGAAATGTTGGGTTAAATACTCAATCCACTAGGAAATATCAAGTGGCGGTATTTCAAACACCATTAACTAGATGGACCGATCACTGTCTAAGGTTAAATAGCCTTCTTTATGGCAGGACTGCTCAGAGCTCTTACCTTGCTGCTGTGTTCTCAATGTTGAAAACTTGGGACAGACTCTGCAGTGTTTCTCAAATGCGTAAGTCTGCAGCATTTCAGACCCAGTAAGTCCCTCCTTGGATTTGCTCAGCCTCACCTCTCTACTGGCTCCTTGGCTCCTTGTTCCCAGAGACCCTGGATGCTATTTCG